GTCCTGGCTCCCAGCCCTGCCCCCCCCACTTTAAGCCCCCTCAGCCCCCGCTCCCCGTCCAAGGCTGGGGTGAGAACCCAGGCAAGAGTCCAGACTCCCAGCCCGTTCCCCTCCCAGAGAACCGAGGAGTCCTGGCTCCCCGCCTCCCCCCCCCACTGGAACCCACCTGCAAGGCTGGGGTGAGAACCCAGGCAAGAGTCCAGACTCCCAGCCCGTTCCCCTCCCAGAGAACCGAGGAGTCCTGGCTCCCAGCCTCCCCCTCCCACTGTAACCCACCAGAGCCCACTCCCCTCCCAACGCTAAGAACAGAACCCAGGCAAGGGACTCTCAGCACCCCTCCCATAACCTGCCAGACCCCTCACAGCCTGGGATAAGAAAACAGGCAAGAGTCCAGATTCCCAGGCCCCTGCTCTAACCTACCAGACCCTATTCCCCTATGAGCTCCTGACTCTCAGGCCCATCCCAGGGCTAACCAGTCTCCGGGAGTGCATCACTTACATAGTGCACTGCACGAGAACGCTGACATTTCAGGGACTTTCACATTTATTTTTGGTGACAGTCTATTGGTGTTTTACAAGAAAGAAAGAAAGAAAATGTGAGCGTTAAACAGGAATATGGGGACAAAACAAGCAGACTCAAGAGCAGAGAACCTAAGTTCTGTCTGCCCCCCCAAATAAAGAACAATAACATTTAATAAATCAAGAGCATCTCTAACATGGTAGTCTGCCAGTGAGAGGCACAGAGAGATTAGATCTAGTAATATCGACAATTAAAGCTACATCTCCTTTGTTATTATATGCATCTTAGGTGATTCCAGAAGTAGATTGGTCTTAGATTCATACAGCTGATGTTTCATGTCTGTAGTGTTGGTTTTTTTAGCATCTCAGCTCCTGGTTATGCAAAAATCTCAGGTTTTATTCAGAAAAAATAAGGTTCTAATCTTTGTGGTTACAGAGAAAAGCACGAAAAGGTGACCGCTAAAGGCTCAATGACACATTTCTCATTTTTGAAAAAAAGTCTCAATTTTTTAAGCCTATCATCTTTTGGGGAGATTCATGGACTTTAATCCTTTAGGGTTGGCAGTACTGCATGTGTAATTTGACTGGCTGATAAGAAGTCAGTGCAGCTTACATTTAAAATTACAAAATCTGTTACATTTAAATGTACAAAACAGAACTGGACAGAATGACCAGTGTTCCCTGCAAGATGAACGCTTGGGCAACCTCCCAGTCTCAAGTGCCGCTCAGCTGATTAGCATGTGTTTTTACTGGTAGTGCACATCCACATATACATCAGTGCACATAACAGAATTTATTCACACCTGGATGGAAAAAATAAGGTAACACTGAAGATGACCCAGAGTGATGTGGTCAGGTAAGAGCCCCCTATTATCAAAGTAAACTATATGATCCTTTATTACATAATCACTCAACATGGGTCACTTCCCACGGCACTCTGCTAAATATTACAGGCTAGAACTATATGATAGATATGAAACATTCCCCTCCTTTAATATCAGAGGCTGCCATTTGTATCTGCCTTTGAACCCTAAGTAATGAACCCCATTTGTTCATGTAGTGTTTTGAATGTTCTCTAATCCACAGGTCTATTTACAGTACTCTTTAGTTTAGGAAATGCTTGTTGGACTGTACTACCCAGAATCTTTAGTGAGGAACTGGATGCTCCTGTGTTTAGAGAATGAAATACAAGAACTGCGCATTGCATGGATCAAATCACAAGTCCATGCAACTGATTCTGCTCTCACTCACAAGAGTGTAAATCAGGAATAATTCCGTTGAGATAAGTCATCTGAAGTCACACTGCAAGTCAATAGCAGAACTGGAAATACAACATAGGAGCCATGATCCTGGGACACCCTAGCTCTTTCCAGCTCTGGGAAGGGAATAATGTCTGGTGATTATAAAATCCCTCCCTCATCCCCACCATTCCAACTCTACTCACTATTCCCCTCCGAAAGCTTTCCAATTCACCCTCCCACTCCGCCCGAACTGTAACCACCAGATCCCACTCCTCTCACTGAGCTGAGAACATCACCCAGGAACAGTGATACCTCTGCTCAGACAACCCCTCTTTTCAATCATGTTAACTGAAGGGTTCTTACAGTGTCTGTTCATAATGAGTAGTCAATATTCAAGAACAAATGCCTTGCTTTGAATTTCAACCCATCTTTTGTGAGAGCATTAACATCTCAGTTCTCACGTTAGCTTAATGTCAGGCTGTTGTCTTTTGCATCTGTAAAAGTTCTAAATAGTGCTAGGTCCTGCCATGAGGGCAGTAGACAACTTCTTGAGGTCCCTTCCACTTCTAGTATTTTATGACCCTATGAGAACTAGTCTATACAACAATGTAACACCACAATCAAGTGCCTAAGAACACTGTCTTTATAACGATGAAGAGTCTAATATAGTAATCCTGCTTAATACAGGGGTTTGCAACCATATACAGTAAAGCCTACACTAACACTCACCTCCTGTCTACCTATCTACCTCTGTGATCATCATTATGGACTCACAGGGCTAACACCTGTCCGAGGCAACCTCTCTGAATTAACTCATTTACATTTTCCTTTATTAAAATAATATTGAGTTTATATTTGGGTATGAATTTAATCGCAGGGAAAGGTGCCCTGGGAGACTGGATTCTCTCTAAGAAGTGTTTATAGGAGCCTGGGAAGTGTGAGATGAAGCTTGCTCAATACACACATATGCACACCCTCTACTCCTCTAGCTGAGCCTCACCCAGCCCTGGAGACCGCATCCTCTGTGTACTCCCAGAACAGGTTCAACCCTGCCTTGAAGGGACGTGCTGGGGGAGAGAGGGAGCTCAGTTTCTATGGCCCCTTCAGTCCTCAGCCTTACTTCTGGGGCTGAGGATTACTGCTGGTGATTAAGGGATGTGGATATTCCCCCACTGGGACACGGACTGGGGAACAGCAAACTTGTTTCAGACAGGAATCTCCAGAATGCTCACTGCAACTGTCCTACGCTGATTTGAATTAGTGACCTAGAGGCTGAAGGTTTGCAGTTGCTTAAGAGGGCCATTAGGTGACCCCAGCATTCAGGTACTCCTCACTACAACTCTTCCTGTTCAAAGAGAGATTAATTCTCTATTAAAATAAAACAAAACTGTGCAGCCCAAACCCATCTCCCCGCAGTTCACAGGCTCTCAGACAGCAGCCTCTGTCCAGTCCTGCATCACATTCTTAGCCTGGTGGGACACAAAACCAGTGCAGGGCACAGAAAAAAACCTTTATATTCACTCCTTCTTGGCAAGTGCCTGAGGTCCCAGAAGTGTGTCAAAAACCATGGAATCATAGAACCAGTGGGCTGGAAAGGAACACAAGTGTTATCTTGTCTAACCGTTGGAGACGGGAAGATGGTATTTCCCCGATGTCTGGAAGATAGGACACTTGTCCTAGCAAGTCACTCCAGACAATGTCCCACAAGAAGCAACAAGTCTTCTGGCCTCCCCAGAGCTCTTGAGGATGCCACTCCGAGCAGGAACCTGAAGCGCTCCTTCTGCCCTCCAGCAGCTCTGCCTTGCTTCCCGCAGCTTTGTGAGCTGTAGCCATATCCCGCTCCAGCCATATCCCCCAAAATGGGTAGCACAGGGTCCTTGCCATTGTGCCTGATATTAAGGCACCATCCCCACAGGGGGCAAAGGGGAGTTCAGCCCCTTTTCAATCTGTGGCCTTTCTGCCAACCAGAGAGCCAGCTAATGCCAATGTCACAGTGATTTGGAGACACACCCAGCCTGCTAAAAACAAGCCTGAGACCCAATCAGCTTGTTCCATGTAAGGGACTCCTATGCCATCAAACAGTGATGGCTTCAGGCCGCGCTGTTTATTCAAGTTCCCCACCTCTTGCAGTGACTAGTATGTCCATTCGGAGGGTGGGAGGGAAGGGTTCCATCCACTCTCTGACCTTGCAGGCATTTGCTCCTTTTGCATTGGCAGTAGGCCTCACGTGCCTGTCCAAATCCTGTAAGAATCGGGGCTGCCAATTTTACAGTTTGCTGAACACAGTAAAAGAACCTGTCTACAAGAACATTTAATTTGTGGCCAGCTGGATTGTGAATCTAACCTGTACTAGCCTGACACACACTAAAAGTTGGCAGACAGTCTTCTTTGAAATAGGACTACGTCAAAGTGCATTAACGAACTGTTAATACGCGTCAGAAGGGTCCAGTGTAGCAGGCCAGCACAGAGTAGATTGACACCCCACTTGCCACAAATTCATTATTGGTCTACACCACAAGATCTAAGAAACAACAGCCTTCCAACTGGCTTAACCTTCTTTATGGGATTTTCCTCATCTGAACTGACAGGGAACAGTAAAAGAAACTGACATTGTTAACCTGTGGAATTCCTTGCAGCAGGATATTATGGAGGCAAGTATCATACTAAATAATAAAAAAGGATTTGATATACGTAGGATTAAGAATAGCACCTGCAATGACACTGGACAGGATAAACACTGAAATGTCAAGGACATTTGACCCTCAGGATCCATCATGGGATCTGACAGCCAGCTGCAGTGTGGAAGGAGCTGCTTTCTCCTTCAGTGGTACACTGCACAGCAAAGTGCATTCCGCATTTCCTTTGCAGCATCTAGCATTGGCCACTCATGGAGGTAGGATACTGGATCAGATGGACCATCAGTCTGACCCGATGCAGCAGGGATGGGCATGGGAATACTAGGCTAGATGGACCCATTAATCTGATCCCACATGGCAGGAAGTGGGGGGAGGGATATTGGGCTAGACACTCCCATTGGGCTGATATGGGGCATCTGGGAGCTGAATGGGAAACTTGTGTTAAGACTGTGTTAGATCCACCGGGAAAGGGGGATAATACTGGACTAGACAGACCTATTGATCTGACCCGGGAAGGCAGCACATCAGGTGAGATGGGCTCATTAGTTTGGTGTAAGAAAGCAGGAGGAGGAATACCACATTGGTCTGCGCGGGAGTAGTGTTGGGGGAAGGATGCTGAGCCAGATGCGTCTATCAGGAATTCCCATGTTCTTAAACCCGGAATCAGAGACACTCCGGCGACACGGGACTCAGAACCAGGCCGAACAGCTCAGAGAAACACACATTCATTCCAGCTCTGCGCTTGGCTCAATACGACTTATCCACCGCCTGGCTCCAGTCTCGGACCCCCCTCATCCCTGGGGCAGGAGCTGGCCCGTTTTAAACAGTCTCCGTGATCTGTATGAGTGGGGCTGCTGCAGGTTGCACTTGTAGGGCTTCTCGCCGGTGTGCATGCGCCGGTGCTTGGTCAGGTCCGACTTCTGGATGAAGCCCTTGCCGCAGTCGGGGCACTTGTAGGGCTTCTCGCCCAGGTGGGTGCGCTGGTGCTTGATGAGGTTGGAGCTGACGCAGAAGCACTTGGCTTCTCGCCGGTGTGGATGCGCTGGTGCTCGATGAGGGTGGAGCTCTGGCTGAAGCGCTTGCCGCACTCGGTGCACTCGTAGGGCCGCTCCCCGGTGTGGGTGCGGTGGTGGGACACCAGGTGGGTCTTCTTCTTGAAGCGCTTGCCGCACTCGCCGCAGGCGAAGGGCTTCTCCCCGGTGTGGGTGCGCTCGTGCTTGATGAGATTGGAGCTGAGGCTGAAGCGCTTGCCGCACTCCCGGCAGCCGTAGGGCTTCTCGCCCGTGTGGGTGCGCAGGTGCTTCACCAGGTTGGAGGTGCGGCTGAAGCGCTTGCCGCACTCGGGGCGGGGGGGTGGGTGAGGAGGTAGGAGCTGACGCTGAAGCGCTTGCCGCACTCGGGGCACTGGTAGGGCTTCTCGCCCGTGTGGGTGCGCTGGTGACCCAGCAGGGTGGAGCTCTGGCTGAAGCGCTTGCCGCACTGGCCGCAGACAAAGGGGCGCTCGCCCGTGTGGATCCGCATGTGCTCGATCAGCACAGAGCTCTGGCCAAAGCTCTTATCACACTCCGTGCACCGGTAGGGCTTGGTCGCCGGCCGCCGGGCAGCAGGGCAGGCCGGTTCAAGGATGCCCAGAAGGTTGATGAAACCTGGCTCGGAGCAAGCATGTTGAATCCGTCTTCTCCTCGCAGGGCCTCTCCGCTGGTGCCCTGGGACACAGACATTGGGGCACGCCCCCCGGGGCTCCACTTTACGCGCTATCCTGATGCCTGCCAGGAAAGAAGGATTCATAGGTTATCTGGAGAGAAGAAGCCGCTGTGATTATCCCGCCTGCCAGCAAAACGCTTGGAATGGGTTTGGGACACAGCCTCTCTTTGCTGTGTCTCTACAACATCTGGCACAATGGCTCCCATGCACTATGGTAATATATCTAAAACATCACGTACTGCCTCTCTCAGCTACACCGAGATCCTGATGCATAAGTGGGCTCCTGGGTGTGACCGTGACAAACCGAATAAATAACGTACAGCACCGAGCACAATGGGATCCTGCTCGACGGCTGGGGACTGGAATTCCTTCCCTGCACCAGGGAGAAAGGGGATGGCAGAGGGGTGAAGGACCTTGATCACTGGGGGCTGATCCTAGACAGAGCTGTCCCTAGAGGGGGCAGGCTGGCTCTGCCCCCCACCTGAGCCCGGGCAGGGCTGGGAAAGGGCATCAGAGTCAAAGGCAGGCGGGGAGGGGGATGCAGGTGGCAGCTTTGCTGCCGTCCCAGCGGTGCCCTTGTCTCCCGGACCGTGGTGCATCACCTGGCAGCTCCCCTTCCTCAGAGCCCCGCCGAGCCGGGCCCCCCGGCTCCGCCCCGCCGGGCTCCATCAGCGCAGGGAGCCCCGCTCAGCCGGCTCCATGCCGGGCTCCCGACAGCAGCTGCCCGCAGCGTTCCGCTCGGCAGCCCAGCATTCCAGGGGGAACCCACTGATGATGTCAGAGACCAGGGTCACGTGATGAAGGGAGCGGGAGGGGGGGCGCTGTTGCTAGGAGACCGGGACAGGCCTGTAGGGCCTGAGTACTTGGTTCCTGCAGGATCTATTGTTAATAAAGATGCGCGGGGCCCCGTGGTCCTCTCGTATC